TTCTAATTATAGATGTGTTCGACAACACACCGATAAGAAGGACTCTACTAGACATGGCTCCGAACAAGTCATTATACCTCATATCAAGCTACTCAAGACTTCAAATAACTGAACGGAATATAATTGCTCAAAATGACCGATTGGGTCGTTACATTAATTGAAGTTGAAGTTATTCAAAATCATTAATCTGTTTTAGTTGAAGTTGTTCTTTAATGGGGTGTTGTTCATTGTTGAGTTACTTTCCCCGTCCATTTGTTGTCATTGAGATTTTGTACATGCGTGTTTGAGCCGTGGGCTATGTGATGTGGTGAAATTGGTATTGCTGTTGTTAAGAGGTTGTGGCCTATAGGCACTTGTGATACGAGTTGATATATCGTGTTGTTCTGATATTAGCATATGTGAATTTGTTGTGTGGATTGATTGTTGTTATTCAGAGCATAAGGGTGGCATCTCACTGTTGATGATTGTGCGGAGCGATACGGGTGGCTATTGTATTATTGTCAGAGCGGAGTGATACGGGTGGCTATCAGAGTGATTCGGGTGTATTATTCAACAAGCTACTCGATGTCTTTGATATTACTTTTTGACTTAGATTGTATTAGTACAGTCGCACAAGCATACACCGTAGCATGCCGTTTACACCGGTTCAGGAGTATGAAACTTGACATCTATTGATCATGTCCATTTACTCTTGTATTATCTGCTTTCATTGTGATATTGAGCATGTGACCACGCCATGCATATTGTGATATTGAGCATGTGACCACGCCAGGCGGATTGTGATATTGCGCCTGTGACAACGCCGAGCAGAATGTGATATTGATTCTGTGACCATGACGGGCAGATTGAGATATTGGCACGTGAAATTTCCGTGCGGTTGTGATTAATAATGTGGGCACAAGGTGCCGTGAGCATATGATCTGTGGTTTGAGACTCATGACTTGTGTTTATGAGATGAGGCATCTCGGAGTAATTCTGTTGTGAAACTTGTCTTAGAACGGTTTAAGTATTCGGCTATCGTTGTTTTTCCTTAATTGGCGTCATTGGTATTTAACAGTGTTCTAATTACTTTACTATTTTTATCACATGTTTATCCCTTGTTGCCATTTATTGATTCTTGCTTCCTTTATTAGCTTTATACTTATAAACTGCATAGGTTTTAAAACTAGTAGGTGTCTTGACTTGTACCTTGTCACTACTCTACCGATGTTAGTTTTGATACTTATTGGGTACCGACCATGGTGTACTCATACTACACTTCTGCATATTTTTGTGCAGATCTAGGTATTGGAGATATCAGACTCAGGTAGAGTAGATTTTTAATTGCGAGGATTCAAGGTAGAGCTGCTTGCTCGTCGCAGTCCCTTAGAGTCCTTTTCCCTTTTTATTGTACTGTTAAATCATTATCCGAACAATATTATATTTTGAGTTATTTCTATGTATTCATTTAGAGTTCGTGACTCTGTATTACCTAGTCTTGGGAGGTTGTTGTGATTATTGTTGCGTAGGCTTGTTTCACCTGCGCACAATCCTTTGCATGTGCGATGCACTAGTACCAGTAGTGCTAAATAACTCCCAAATGGTCTGAAACCATACGGAAATACACCCGAATCCTCCGAGCCCCCATCCAATCATACTAACAAGTCCATATACCTAATTCAAACTTATTCAAAGGCTCAGAACTCATTTGAAACCTCCCGGCCACAAATCATATATGCATTTCAATCAAACACCACGCAACGAACCTGCTCGCGCAATCAAAATACCGAAAAGATGTCGTTTTGACCCGATATTAACCATGGTCAAACTCAAAATCTTTAACATAACTAGTCTCTCAACCAATGATCTTTGAACACTATTACATCACAAAACAACATCACAACTCAATTATTCAACCTGCGCAAGTAACAGTCACTCCAGTCGCAACCTCATTTAAATAATTAAGTGCAGCACATGAAGTACCAACCTAAGACAGTAGATCTCACAAAAACTATTAAATTGTCAATGAGTTAATACCCGAAATGAGTTGGCCTTCTTTGTTGCTACCAGTAGATGGACGACAGATTGGTTGCAAAGTTGTTTGCTGTGCAGATGAAGTTTCTACTGATGAATTATCCCCCAATGCCGCTAGAATAATGTTAGCATCAATATCAATTCCTGAACGCTGAAGTCGTGCAAGCACATCTACAACAACTTCTTGATTGATAGTTGCCTTTTATTCCACAATTCTTTCCTCTATTCTTTGTATCTTCTCCTCCAATTTTTGTATAGAATTTGAAGTATTTGAAGAGGGTTCAAAACATCCTGCTTCTCTCAAAAAAGCATATCTACATGAATAGAAAAAAAAACAAAAAAAATGAAAGAGTGTCTGAGAACGAAAAGAAAAGAGTAGCAGCAACAAAAGGAGGCAAATCGAGCAGATCCTTCTTCTTAACAGCCGCAACTACTTCTTTTTCCCCAAGCAAAAATACCATTTATTTCCTATAAAGCAGCCACAACTTTAGCCATGTAAAACTCCCTTAACTCACCCAAAAATAGATTAGAAACTCCATAAACAAATCAGCAAAATGCTCCACTAAAATGCAGCTGAAAAAACTGCTAAAAATGCAGCAAAATAGCTACAAAAATCACCTTTATTAACACCAATCTTCAGGCTTTTCTTCCTGATAAACCTGTAACAACTTTAGCCATGTAAATCTCACTTAAACCACCCAAAAACAACTTAGAAATTATAAAAAGAACAGCAAAAACCTCCATTAAAATGCAACTATAAAGCTGCTAAAAACACAGCAAAACAGCCGCAAAAAATCACCTCTATTAACACCAATCTTCACTTCCAAAGTCCTTCCCAAACCAGCCCAAAAACATGGAAAAATCCAGCCGAGAACTCAGTTGAAAACCATCGCGAACCCCAACTGGAATTAACCCCAAAACAGCTCCAAAACGCAGCCAAAACTCCCTTAAATCGACTCCATAAACAACTTCTCCTTCTCCACCATAAATCTCCTTTAAAACCAGTCAATAAACATGTGAAACCAACTCCAAAATACATCTGAAACTTCCTTTTTCAGTCATGAAAAACTTCTAAAATATTTTGTGGAATACATTTGTGCTCTTTATTGCCATTAGGAAAATTCTCAATAAAAGTTGGGTAGATAAAGCTTCTTTTGTAGTTTGAGGAAATAGGAAAAAAATGTATATGTACAATGCACTTTTCCTTTCATTTCATTTAATTCAATCGACACTAGTAAATACTATCATTTTGTTGATTTTCTCTCGGAGCAAACCAAGTTTCCCCAACACAATTTATTTGACATACCAGGAAATATAACATCTTTAGCCATTAACTTTTGCATTTTGTCATTTGCATAATTTGTTGTAAGCTCTAGTTTGTACAAAAAATAAAACTTTTTGTACTCCAATACAAGATAGGGGAATGATAAGTTACCGTGGAAGGTGTCATAACCCCATTTTCCCTCCGTAGGAACATTTTCCCTCCGTAGGATGTCGTGATGGAACATAGTCACCTAAGACTAGGTAAGCTTAACACTTTGCGGAATAAATGAATAATAAACCGAACTCCAATCTCAACACATGATATATAAATATAAGACTACAAATCAATAATTATAACTCCTAAAACTCGGTAGAAATAAGTCACAAGCTTCTAAGAGAAAATACTAAGTGTCTCTATACATCAAGTCTAAAGAGAATAAGGGAAATAACATAATAAGGATAGAGGGGGACTCCGAGATCTGCGGACGCTGGCAGATATACCTTGAAGTCTCCACGTACAGTCCAGCTCACTAGTATTTGGCTTGGTAGGAAGAACCTCGATCTGCACAAAAAGATGTGCAGAGTGTAGTATGAGTACGCCACAACGATACCCAGTAAGTGCCAAGCCTAACCTCGGTAGAGTAGTGACGAGGTCAGGTCAAGGCCCTACTGGTTTTAAAAGAAAAATAAGGCAAAAGATATAATAATATTTGAAATGACTGAAAATTTAAACGACGAGAGACTTTAGAAAATAACAACTTAGCAATTAAAGGTAAACAACTGGGGCGCTCCCGAGGTACCGCCTAGTAGTCCCAAATGTAAATATGCAAGACAGGGGAATCTCCCGAGGTACCGCCTCGTAGTCCCAAAATAAATATGCAAGACAGGGGGGATCTCCCAAGGTACCGCCTCGTAGTCCCAAAGTAAATATGCAAGACAGGGAGATCTCCCGAGTAAACGCCTCGTAGTCGCAAAATAAATATGCAGTAGAGGGGAATATCCCGAGGAACCGCCTCGTAGTACCAAAGTAAATATGCAGTACAGGAGGATCTCCTGAGGAACCGCCTCGTAGTCCCAAAGTAAATATGCAACAGATAATCGAAGGAATAACGAATTTTTCAAGAAATCTTACAGTTAAAGATTTAATTCAAATCAATGGAAGCAGGTAATTCAACTAAGCATATTGTATAAGTTGTAAGTAAGAGTTAAGGCACGTAGACATGCGATACTAGGCTAAACATGATCACTACATATGCTAAGGCAACTTTAGTTAAGGAATTTAAAAGAAGACAACTCGGCATGTATCGAAATTTTCACAATTAGCCCGTGTACGCACTAGTCATCTCGCGTACACGGCGCTCACACATCACAAATTGTTACAACAGCACCAAATCGTAAAGGGATTTTCCCCACACAAAGTTAGACAAGTCACTTACCTCAATTCTCGCCCAATCAATCGATAAGGATGTCTTTCCCTCGATTTTCCGACTCAGAATGGCCCAAATCTAGCCAAAAGCAATTACATAACATGAATACAACTACAAGAAATTACTTTAAATCATAAGTCTACGACTTTAGCAAAGAATCGAAAAACCGCCCCAAAAGGTCGACCCGAGCCCATGTCTCAGAATCGGGTAAAAGTCACAAAATACGAATACCCATTCGATATCGAGTTCACCCATACCAAAGTTACCAAAATCCGACACCAAGTCGCTATTCAAAACCCCAAATGTAACTCTCCAAATCCCTAGCCTCCAACTCCCAAATTCTACCTTAAACACACACAATCTAGGTGGGAAAATCAATGGGAAAACAAGGTTATTGATCAAAAATAAGTACAAGAGACTTACCTCAAGAAATCCCTCGACAATGCTCTCAAAGATCGCCAAAACCCGAGCTCAAAATGTCCAAAATGATAAAAATCACGAAACCCTTTGGTTTTAAACACTGCCCAGGGGTTCCACTTCTGCGGTCCACTAAGTCACACCTGTGGCACCGCTTGTGCGGAAAACACAAATGCTTATGCGGTTTGCTTCGCTTCTGCGACGAGAGGTCCGCTTCTGCGGACACGCTTTTGCAGTCACTTATTCGCTTCTGCGACACTGGCTGCCCTTCCTTCACTCCATATCTGCGGAGCCTTGCTCGCACCTGCGGGCTCGCAGATGCGGAAGCCTTCACGCACCTGCGACACAGCCCCAGGCCAAGCCCCAAATCCGCTTCTGTGCCTTGCCAACCGCACCTGCGGTTGCGCACCTACGAGAATAGTTCCGCAGGTGCGATTGCACCAGAAGGCAGAATATCCCAGCTTTTTCCTTAAATTCAAATTTGATCCGTTAACCATACGGAATCCACCCGAGGACCCCGGGACCTTAATCAAACGTACTAACAAGTCCTAAAATATCATACGGACTAAGACGAGCCTTGAGATCACATCAAACAACGCTAAAACTACGAATTGCACATCGATTCAAGCCTAATGAACTTTAAAACTTCAAACTTCTACATCCGACGCTGAAACCTATCAAATCAAGTCCGATTGACCTCAAATTTTGCACACAAGCGATAATTGATATTATGTACCTACTCTAACTTCTGGAATCGGAATCCAACCCCGATATCAAAAAGTCCACTCCCGATCAAATTTTCCAACTTTCGCCAATTGACGCAAATATTACCTACGGACCTCCAATTCAAAATCTGAACACACTCCTAAGACCAAAATCACCCTACAGAGCTATTGGAATAGTCGAAACTCCATTTCAGAGTCGTCTTCATACAAATCCAACTACGGTCAATTCCTACGACTTAAACTTCCATTTTAGTGACTATGTGTCCCATTTCACTCTGAAACCTAAAACAAATTCTCCCGGTATGTCACAAAACCAAAAAATGAATATAGAGGGAGCAATAAATAGGGGTTCGGGGCTAGTACTCTCAAAATGATCGGTCGGATCGTTAAATAAGGCTGAAAGCACATTGAGCACATGGTATGCAACTTTGATAGTTATACTTTAGGAGTTGGTTAGTGTCAAAAGAATATGAAGATTGAGATCATACCATGTACAAAATCACATTATGAATAGGAAAAAAGCTCTAGTGAATTCCTTTTTGACTTCAAAATTCTAAAAGAAGAAAAAGTTCAAAAAAAAGAAGAAGATTTGACAGCAAGTTAAATTGCAACTCAATCTCTTCCTTTGTTGATCTTCATTCTTCATATATATGAGTCTGAAAGTACTACATAATTGCAATTGAATGGAAAAATCAACCAATTGTTCTCTAAAATTTTGTGATTCTTCTACCATGAAAAGAACAAAAACCTTAGCAAAAGTAAAACAAAGTTTAAGTTCAACCAAGTTTCTTGGGAGAAGCAACAAAGTTCTACGATATGAAGATCCATACAACTCAAAACACACTTACACATGGGATGATAAGCATGTGTGTACACACTTCCAATTTGTCACTATTTTTAGTAACACGTTTCCAAAATGTCACAGTTAGAAGTGACAAATAAAGTAATAACTAAGAAACTACGATACACTATTAGTGAAAATAGTAAAAAGATGTTTCACCGGTAATCATCTCCTGAAGACTCATCCCAAATGCATATGTATCAACCAGAAAACTAAAATAATGATAAAATAATGAAAACTAAATGAAATAACATAGTTAAACTAAATAAAATAATCATCCAACTATTATCACTATTACCCAACCCATGAATATCCTATATAACATAGTCAAATCACCAAAGTTAATATTCAAGCTTAGCTAAGTTACACCTCAATACTATATTATTATTACTAAAAAAAATATAGCATATTGGTTTCTGAAAGAATAAAGTTTTGAACTTTTTAGTGAACAACTAAAAGTTCACAGAAAATGACACAAGCAACCATAAATTTCCTTTACTTCACAACGAGAACAACACATTAAGATCCACATTGACATACATATTCCATTTGTGTTATAACCAAATAGTCAGCTAGTTCTTCAAGAACTAATATTTTCTTAGCGATCTTGAGCATTTATCTATTAATTAAATCAAGAGAAGTATTGAACTTTAAGTAGAAACTAAAAATTACAAATTCAACGAAAGAAAGGACAATGAGAGAGACAAAGAATTTAAAAAATCAAGGAGTTAGCAGTATAGTACCTTCGAGATAGTCTTGAATCCAAAACGGTGCAAATGGCCATCAGGTACAAAATACCCTTAGCTGCAAATTCTTGCACTATTGGTTGTGCCCTTTTGATTTCCAAAAGCCTTAGCACAAATTCTATAGCTTCTGTTTCCACTGCTGCTTATGATGTTGTACACAAAAATATAAAAACAATTACAAGTTAGGAACCAAGACTTTCAATTTACCATACTTTTTGTGGAATTTGGATTATTAATCTTCAGAAAAGAGTTACCAAGTTACAAAGTAGTACTAAATTTGTTTAGGAAGTTAAATGTCTGAATAATTGGATAGTATCCATAACCAAGTTTATTTGGAGTTAATCCAATCTAACTCTTAGCAGTACCCCTAGTACGAAATAAGTGAAGTATTAGTTTTCTGTCTGATGCAAAAGAAATGATCCTACCAACAGATAAAAAGGACTATTTCAAGCCTCCATGTTCAAATCTGAGAAAAATAAAGTTAGAACCATTAGACATTACCCCACTAGACAAAAATGCCTCGTCTTTTCTCTTTGTCATATACTCATAATAAGTGTAAGATTTTCAATCTTGCAAAGTTTAAAAAATAGTCAAAGCAAACTTCAATTTTGACAAATTTTTAAACCTTCAATAGTATATGCAATATGCAATTCTAATTTCTATTTCTAGACCACTAATGACATATTCCATTTCCAACAAAAAACTACTCTTTTGCTTTTTTCTAATGAAGATATGATATAGGCACAAATTAGATAATTCAAAGACTAAAAATAGTACAACTCTCCAATGAACTAGAATTGATGATGTCTTATTTCTTTAACCATGAATGAAACAAATCACTCCCAGAATTTAAGGTCACTAAAGCTAAATATTCGTCAATATCTCTTCTCCATAATAGATTAACGTATAAAGAGAACAGAGCATCTAGATTGCATTAAGGCATACATATGAATATTTGCAAATTGAGATACATTCAAGAAAAAAATAGAATTTGAGTAACTACTGCTAATGGGACGGCATTTCGTCGAACAGTAGATGTGCATGGCATATTGAGTAAGCATAATTTTAGCGTACAACCAAGCAAACAACTCACTCACAAAAAAACTAGGTATTTCAAAATTATTTTACCCACATAATAAATTTGGTACACAATAGGCAAAGATAACCCAGTAAGTCTAATCACTGCTTAGATGAGATAAAATTGAACAAATTAAAACCCCCAAAACTCCCAAAAGAAAACTGCAGTAAATATGAAAATCACTAAACCGAAAGTAAATAAAGGTGAAATGGGTTTGGCTTTGCTTGATAATAGACCTAGTTATGAAAGAAAACAATAAGTTCTTAGGGAGCTCAGATCGGCGACCTTCACCGGCAAGATGGGACCTAACTGTAGAAGAAAAAGGTGTGTTCTTTAGAAGTCCAGATCTACCACCTCCATAGGCAAATTAGACCTCCACACGGTTACTTCAAAACGATGGATTCTTTTTTAGGAGTGTATATCAATGTGGTATGTTTTGGATTCAACTATCGATTTGGATTGATTGGCAACAAAAGTTCTCAGAGAACTACTTTATCTTTCTTGGGGCTTAAAAATATTAGCGATTAAAAAGGAAAAAGAACTCACACAAAAGTTTAGGATTGAACAAAAAATAAAAGGGAAAAATTAAGGAGGGAATCTGAACCGTCCCAATAGATTTTATTTTTTATAACCATCCCCACAAATAGACCTATTACGACAGTTTTGAAAACCGTAACAATAAAAAAAACTATTGGAACGGTTCTAACACTACTACAACGGTTTAGTAACGAAAATGTCCCAATAGGATCCATATCCTACTGCAAAGGTTATAACCGTTGCAAAAGACCATCTATAGCAACAAGTTATATTAACTGTTGCAAACAAACTGTTCTCATAGGCCCAATTTTTAGTAGTGACTCTTTCAAGCTTCCAAATTGAGAATTACTCTTCCAAATCAATCGCAACCTTCTCGAAAGTCAAAAATAGTCATAATACATCATGTGAAGCTACTCAAGGTCTCAAACCGCCAAAAAATGATAAAGCTCAAAATGATCGGTCGGGTTGTTTCAACTGGCTAGAAGGAAAACTCTTTATAGAAGCCTCCTAAGAATCATACAACCTCAAACCTTCTCGTAGGAGATAATCCACCCGCTTGACCCAAAATTGACATCTTCATATGATCTCACCACGGTCACCACCATTATGCAATCCATTAGACTTCCCGAGTCGGCACTCCTTAACAAGATATAAGAATCCACTTCATTCCACAAATGAACCACTGAATTATATCCCAGCATGTCCATATATGTCACGACCCAACTCCCATCGGAGCCGCTACGTCCCTTAACTCTACTTGCTAGGTAAGCCAACAATTTGGTGATAACAACAAATTTGATAAAATGGCATTTAATAAACTCAACAACAGAAATATCATGAAATAACTATGAAACAATAGTAATACCAGTACAACCATCCCAATGATCTAGTGTCAACGAATACATGAGCAATACTGAATGTCAAAATACAAGACCAAATCCTCTATACAATTGTCTGAACAATAGAACAGTAACAATAGAAGTAAATGAAAGAGAACTTCAAGGTCTTCGGATGACATAGCAGCTACCTCGTAGTCTCCCAAAAGCTGGTACCAACACAACTCTAGCAATCACCGCCTCCGGAAGTAACTGGATATGCACACAAAGTATAGAGTATAGTATGAGTACAACCGACCCCATATACTAAATAAGTAATAAAGCTAACCTTGGGCTAAAAGTAGTGACGAGCTTAGAAGAAACAGTCAGTGACCATTATCAATAACTAGTAACAACTCAGGATATAAAGGAAACAATATAAATAAATAACTCAACGATATCATGTTTAGCTCTCCCACATTACAGGAATTTAGACATGCTTTCCAAGTATAGCAGTTAAAGCTCAACACGGATAAAATATTTTATTTACCAGCTAGCATAAGGAAAGTACATTTCTATGCCTACATGTCAAATGTACATGTCAACTCTATATTATCACAGTGAAATCATAAAAAATAACCACACTTAGCACGCTCACGGTGCCTGACACAAGGCCCCTCACCATCACAGACAACTACACTCAGCACTATACGGGTGCCTGGCATAAATGCCCCTTACCAAAGCACGTGTATATATATATATCAATGTGCATGCGCTCACTGAACATATCAGACTTCGGAGGGGCGAATTCTGGCCCAAGCGCTAATCAAAATCACATAGACCAATAGTGGGCCTAGTGCACGCTTCGTCCCAAATCAAAGATACACCTAGCTCAATATAAGCCTGGCGTATGAGTCACCTCAAATCAATACCACATCGGCTCTATGGCCCAAGCTCAATCATCAACCTCTCAAGTCTCAGTTAACCACAACTCATAATACTCAATTCAACAGTGCTACACATATGAGGCATCAACAATGTGTAAAAAATCAAATGAGAAAGTACTGAGACGTAGATATCATTCACGGATATAGCATCATAATTGAGAGTATGTGTACAATTAAGGCAAATAGCTAAGAAATAGCAAGAATATCCCTATCATGTCTTAAACAAATAGAACATAGCCTAGACATGATTTCTAACATGAATCAATACTCAAATAATCATATAGGTTTAGAAAACACAGATATATTAAAGCACGAAAGTAAAACAAGTCTGATAATAGTCTAAAGTCTACTCGGATCATGAATACTCTAGTGCACACATGCACACCCGTCACCTAGCATGTGAGTCACCCCAACACATCTCATATAACATAGTTCCCAGGATTAATTACCCTCAAATCCTAGTTTAGATATGTTACTTACCTCAAAACACGCAATTCAATACTCTAGAAAACTATTCCTACGCGAATGTATCGACCCGACCGACGTTTTGAGCATTTGTATTTTGTTCGATGGTTCGAGGGCATGAGTAGCTTTGTATGATTTATTATGACTTGTATTTATCGTCGGTTGTGGTTTTTGGGTGATTCAGAATTGATTAGGGAGAATGATTCTCATTTTAGAAGCTTTAAGTTGGAAGAGTTGACCAAGCTTGACTTTTGTGTATTTGATCCCGGATCGGAGTTTTGATGGTTACGTTAGGTCCGGATGGTGATTTTGGACTTGGGCGTATGCCTAGATTTTCATTTAGGTGTTCCTAAAAGGTTTCGGTACTATTTGGCAAAAATTGACAATTTGAAGCTTTGGAAAGTTCATAGGTTTGACCAGGAGTTGACTTCGACATTATCGGGTTCGGATTGTTGTTCCGGGAGTTGGACTAGGTTCGAACGATGATTGATATTGATCAATGATTCGTGGTCTTGATGTCATTATGTGTGATTTGAGGCCTCGAGTAGGTCCGTAATATGTTTTGAAACTTGTTAGTATGTTCGAACGGGGTCCCGAAAGGGCTTGGGTGAGTTTCGGGGTGGTTTCGGACCATCTCTAAGCCCTTTTTAGTTTCTCTAAGCCCTTTTTAGTTTTCGGACCATCGTGATCGCGGATATTGGGTCGCGTTCGCAAGAGCAAATTGTTGTTTGGGCGTTGTGAATCGCGATCACGGAAGCCATTCTTGCGATCGCGTAGAGGAATTTCTGATGTCACAAGACTAACTTTGGAAGCTTATATCTTGCAATCTATAAGGAATATTGAATGATCCAAAAATGAAAGTTGTAGTCCTTTGTGTTTAATTTTCATAAACTAAAACCGTTTATCATTTCGAGTTTTGTAAAAAATCCTATGACCACTATACTGGAGGCTATGTAGAAGAGTTGGGCAAGCTTGTTGGAATTTGTTCATCGCGATCTCGGGGACATCGCCGCGATCGCGAAGGGTAAAAAATTAGCTGGAACTTGTTTGAAGCACGATTGCAAGGTTAGAGACCACGATCACGATGAAGGACCACGGGCAGCGCATTAAAACATCCAATTTCAAGATTTTGAGTTCATTTTCTCCACTTTTTGAGTTCTTGGAGAACAAGTAATGCGATTTTGGAGGAGATAAACAACCAATTCATGAGGGTAAGTAATTTTATCTTTGTTTGATTATATATTTTGTTTTTTCATTGATTATTACACCTAAATCAAGGATTTGAAGAGAAGAAATTGGGGTTTTTTTGACTTGAACTTAACCGAATGAATTTTTGGGGGTTTTGAACAAGAAATTGAGGTCGGATTTGGATGAAACATATATGGTTAGTTGTATTTGAATGAGTTATCAGAAGTTGTGAGTTTTGTCGGGTTTTGATATACGGGCCCGGGTTAACTTTTTTGTTGACTTTGAGTATTTGATTAAAGGTTCGACCTTTATCGCCTGGGTTTGTTTCTTAAGGCATTATTTGATGTTTTGAGTTGCTTTTGGCTAGTTTCGAGCCATTCAAAGGTTGATTTGCGTGGTTTGGAATTTCTAGAGTATCGGTTGGTTTGCTCAGTATTTGATTTGACTTGCGTGAGGTAAGTATCTTATATAAACATTGTTAAGGCACTAGTTGCCTGAATTATTTGTGATAGCTACGGTCTATGGGTGCGCATATGTGTGGGGTTTGAGCCCATGCACGAGCACCAGGGTATTTATCCATTCTCAGGGTAGTGGTTAGGCTATGATATGCCTAGAATTGACTGATAAGCTTTAAGCTATGATTTTTTTCATATTTGTAACACTGAACTATTTGAGCCATGTTTGAGGTTACGAAGAGGATAATTCCCTGAATAAACTTGGTAATTGCTTATTTTGTGATAAAATTTCCGATTTGAGCTATGATATCACACTTTGCACATGCCTACACTTTATCATGTTATTATACAAGTCCAGTGCATGAAATCTGATATTTATTCATTATATACATATGTTCTTATATACTTGCTTCTGTGTGATATGATTTGGACTGGATCCTTGTGACCACGGCGGGCGGATTGTGATGTTATGCTTGTGACCCTGCTGGGCGGATTGTGCTGTTATGCCTGTGACCACGCCGGACGACTTATTTTGTTGTGTATGTGACCAAGTCGTTCGGATTGTTTTGTTATACTTGTGACCACGTCGGGCGGATTGTGTTGTTATGCCTGTGACCACACTGGGAAGATTGTTTTGTTATGCCTTTGACCACGCCGTGCTGATTGTGGTGTTATTCCTATGAACGCCGGGAGGATTATGATATTGTTCATGTGACCACGCTGGGCGGATTGTGATTTTTTCACGTGAGTTGTCCGTGCGGATTGATATTATTAGCATGTGAGTTGTCCGTACGGATCCATATATTGATATTATAGCGTGTGAATTATCCGTGCAACACGTGGGTTTTCCGTGCGGATTGATATTATTAGCATGTGAGTTGACCGTGCTGCATGTGGATATGGAGGCATCCCTTTAAGGCCACCCTCTCATGTTTCTCTCTTGATGGTGTACACACGAATTGTGAGAAACTGGTGGGTTTCTGGTTGATGTAAGTCTTGGGAGAGCTGGTTACTAATATTTGGATCGGGTTGCACACCGTAACATGCCTTATTGGCTCATCGTTATTTAGATTGGGTTGCGTGCCGCAACGGGTTGATATTTGGTGATTGCATTTCATTTTTACTTGCAATGTTCTTGATTGTTTACCTGATTTACTTGCATATCTTCCTTATACGTT